CCTTCCGCCTCTCGTGTGCCGTCGCCCTAAGATAAACATATAATTGAGAAGGGTCCAGCTGTTTCGCGAGCCAATCGACTCGCTCGATGGACGCGCCGGCCGGTCGCGCGCACAGTCGCGCACAATGCGACAGCGGCTTTACGTTACGCACTTCCGTAAATTTACCGATCGTAGCATTTTTTTTTTCCTCGCTGCTGATTCGCCCGCCTCGCTCTCCCCGCACCTCTCCACCTGCCGACGTCGCAGGCAATCGCGAGCGGACACGACACGAAGCGCAGCGCAACCTGTCAACAGTGTCAACTGTAGCCCACGTTTGACGCACATGACTGGTATACGCGGCGATCAAAACATGATAGAATAGCCCGTGTGTGTGTGGAAAGATGTGGGGTAACTACTGGGGCGTGTATAATGGGCTGTGTGTGTTGCTCGTCTCCCTCGTGCGCGGCCACGATTTTCGGCACTTCGACGACACGGTCATATTCAAGATAAACTGGGCCGGGAAGAGCGACGCGGAGCTGCTGGTGAGTACACCCGGCACGATCTCGTCCGCAACAATCGATCGCCGTGGGGCTCGCGAGCGACGGTATCGTCGTTTTTGTCCGACGTGTGCTCCGCCCGGCTTTCTCTCTTCCAGGAGCCGCACCCGAACGCGGAGCCGTACTTCATAACCACCGCCAGCAACGAGCGGTACAGATGCGTCATCCCGGACGCGACGGAGGAGGAGCACGAGTACAGCGAGACGTACAATGGGCCGAATCCGATTGAGCTTCTGCAGCCGATATTTGCTCAGAACAGCTGCTCCTATAGGGTGAGTATCGCGGCACCCCAGGCACTCACGTAAATCTGTTTATCCCCGCTCAAGAGAGATCCGACAGATAATGATGGAAATAGATTGATAATCTACTGAAATTTTATCTGTATTTTATAGTAAAGTTTATCTGTAATTTTATAATAAAGTTATCGTTTCAATCAGCTCACGTTTGAGCTAATTGAGAAGTTCTATCTATTTCTGTCGGTTCTCTTAATAGTACATATATCTTACCTAAACATTAAATACAAATCTGAACATGTATGTTTTTTTTTTAAGTACAATTTATCGAGTTATCTGATTTAAACTAAAAATTATGATTTGTTACATATTATTATATTTGCAAGAAATACTTATTAGATCGGAAGAGCACACG